ACCTCCATCTCCTACCGACCAACCTCATCCCGCCCCCTTGACCTGTCCGTCCTCCCTGGACTGACCTATCCCCTTCCTAACTCCCTACCTACACTCACCTTTCCTGGCCCCATCCCCGCCCCTTCGACCTGTTTGTTTCTTCTCCACCTATCCTCTCCTCTATCCCTCTTCTATCCGCCTCCCACTCTCTCCCTATTTATTTCAAAACCCCCTTCCCCTCCCCCTTTTCTGATGAAGGGTCTAGGCCCGAAACATCAGCCTCTCTGCTCCTACGATGCTGCTTGGCCTGCTGTGTTCATCCAGCCCTGCACCTTGTTGTCTCGGATTCTCCAGCATCTGCAGTTCCTACTATCTCTGACTCAGATTCTAGTCCCACTTTACACCCAAAAGAGATATTCTTTAAAAAGCACTAGTACTTACAATTGTGATGTTTTTATGTAGCTGGCATTGAGGCGAGACTTTGGACACTCAGGGCGGACACAGTGGAATCCCCCATGTATATTTATACAAATCTCCTCCCTGGTGCAGTTGTGTTGATTGCTTGTACACTCATTAACATCTGTAGAAGCAAGACAGTAACAATGAGATAAGTGATAACGTACAGCTGGCAGACAGAGTTACATTTGCTTTAGGCAGGCAGCATTGAGCTACCTCAACAAAGAAATGAGGTATGTAGATCGTAACAGATGGCTGGGTATGAAGTTGAGGTGTGCTTACCTTCACAGGCCCGTGAATCCTCTTGCAAGTTGTATCCGGAGGGACACGCACAACGATATGAACCTGGTGTATTCACACAAGAATATGCACAGAGTCGAGCCAGTCGGCCTGTCTGAAACAACTCGCACTCATCCACATCTGAAGGACAGAGACACACACACAGTGACAGTTAAGCATTTGGTAAACAAGTGCTCTCAATGGACCACCACAAAATTGGCGGAAATCCCAAGTGCAGAATTTCAGGCCGCAATGCATTTGTTGCATCTTTGGGAGAGTTTGCAACAGGAAAAGCCAGCAAGAGTCGCTGTGCTAGAATATTCTGATTTAAAGCATCATACAGGGAGGATTACAGAATGTGAACTGCACTGGAAGGGTTCAGGAAACAAATCAGCATTTTTGGAAGGTCAGGGAGATGGAGAAAAGAGAGAGAAAGAATGAGATAAGAGATAAAATAAATAGAAAGAGAAAGAAAGAGATAAGTTGAAAGATAAAAAGAAGGATAAAGAGATAAAGATAAAGGATAAAGATACAGAGACAAGAGATAAAGGAAATAAAAAGAGAAATAAGCACAGATAAATGGAAAGATAAAAGAGATAAAAACACATATAAAGGTAGATCATAAAGAGAAAGATTAACAGATAGAAAGATAGATAAAGAGAGATAGAGTGACAAAGAGAAAAAGAGAAAGATCCCATGAGAAAAGAATGCCTTATAGCCTCTTCTGACCAAAGGATAGAAATTTGGAACACTTTTGCCCAAATAGTGGTGTTTTCTGGGGTTAATTGGAGTTCTCAGAAGGAGATTGATAGATTTTTGTCAGGATTTCAAGGAGCAAAAGATGGGTAAATGGAGTTGAGAGACCAATCACCACAATCTAATTGAACAAAAACAGAAGTTGCTGGAAAAGCTCAGCAGGTCTGGCAGCATCTGTGAAGGAAAAAACAGAGTTAATGTTTCGGGTCCGGTGACCCTTCCTCAGAAGTTCTGTTTTGTTCCTGATTTACAGCATCCACAGTTCTTTGGGTTTTTACAATCTAATTGAATGTTGGACTAGGGGCTGAATGGCCTATTTCAGTTTCTGAGGAGGACAAGTGGAGAAGATTATCAAAATAAGGATTTGAATATTAGGCCTAAACAATCATTTCCCTTTTCCAAAAAATATTCTGATAGATAAAATATTGAACAGTGGCATCACTTTATCAATAGAGGTCAGTAATAATCAATCACCTCGTCAAAGATTGAGATAGGATTAAGAGAAGATCATTTGGCCTCTTGAGCCTGCTGTGCCATTCACAGAATGGAGGACAGATTCACACCAAGTCCCATTCTCCTGTCACCTCCATGCTCACTGACTTATGGATCCCAGTCCAGTAATGCCTCAATTTTAAAACTCTCCATTTTTAACTTTAAATTCCTCCATCCTCTCAGCTCCTCCCCATCTCTGTAACCTCCTTCATCCTTCCAACTTCCCCCCACCCCACACCAAACAATATCTACCCCACCAGAATCCCTGCACCCTACCAATGTCTCTTCCTCATTCCCAATTACCCTCACCCCAACAGCGGCAGCCATGCCTTCAGTTCTGGAATTCCCTCCTTAAAATTCTCCACCACCCCTTAAAACCTACCGCACGGATGAAGTACTTGCTCGCTGATCCCAACGCCTTTTTGGGTGGCTTGATATCAATTGATTGCTGGATTATTGCGTAACTTGCTTGTTTTGTTTTATCACATGAAACGTTAAATCAATTCAAGTGATCGAGTGGCTCGCGGCTGATCAAGGATGATTGTGAGCAGTCTCGGATTTGCGCAAGAAAATTGTGGAAGTGAGCTGCACGAAGAGACTCAGCTGCAACCACAGTGAAGTCCACCTTACCTCGACACTGTCTAACATCCTTCCCGCTGAGACGGAAGCCTGACTCGCAGCTGCAATGTTGTGAGCCCCGGACATCCGTGCAATGTGGCTGGTGACTGAAGGACGAGTCACTCTGCGATGTAGTCCACTCTGCCATTAGCAAGAAATAAGTGGCGACACAGTGAACACGAGCACGGGACTGATGCAAAACCTTTACAAATTACTGATAGGCCTCAGCTGGAGTATTATGTCATAGAGTCATACAGAACGGAAACAGACCCTTTGGTCCAACTTGTCCATTGCAACCAGGTATCCGAACTGAACTAGTCCCATTTGCCTGCATTTGGCCCATATCCCGCTAAACCTTTCCTGTCACTTACCTGTCCAAATTTCTTTTAAATGTTGTAACTACCTGCATCTACCACTTCCTCCGGCAGCTCAATCCACACAGGCGCTGTGTGAAAAAGTTGCCCCTTAGGTCCCTTTGAAATCTTTTCCCTCTCATCTTAAACCTATGCCCTCTAGCTTTGGACTCCCCTACTGTTGGAAGAAGGACTTGGCTTATTCAGCGTCTCCATGCCCTGCATGATTTTATAAACCTCTATAAGGTCACCCCTCAGCCTCCGACATTCAGGGAGAATAGCCCCAGCCTATTCAGCCTCCTCCTGTAATTCAAACACTCCAACCCCAGCAACATCCTTGCAAACCTTTTCTGAACCCTTTCAAATTTTAACAACACCTTTCCTACAGCAGTGAGACCAGTGATTTTAAATTGGTCTGACCTATGTTCCTTGACAATGTAGCACCACAATCAGCAATGACTTCCTTCCTATAGCAAGGGGACTAGAATTGTAGAAGTGGCCTCACCAATGTCTTGTACAGCTGCAACATGACGTCCCAACTGCTTTACTCAATGTTCTGACTAATGAAGGCAAGCGTGCCAAATGCCTTCTTCACCACCCTATCTAACTGCGACGCAACTTCCAAGGAACTATGTACTTGAACACTAGGTCCCTCTGTTCAATCACACTACCCAGGGGCCTACCATTAGCTGTGTAAGTTCTGTGTCCTATTCCAGGTACTGTCCTTTAGAAGGATGACAAAGCAAGGAGATTTATCAAAACGGAAGACATTTTTCAGTTATTTGGAGAGACTAAAACAAGTAAAATTGTTCCCTGTGGAAAAGAGAAGATTAAAGAGAGATTGAAAAGTAAATTTTCAAAATAATCAGGGACCTTGTTAGGGTACATAGGGAGCAAATGTTTCCAATGTCAGGGACATTGGTAACCAGGCGACTAATTTAAAATATCTGGGAAAATACAAGTGCACAAGAAATTGGAGCGTAGCCACGCAGACCATAATTTAATCACAGGCTTCACTTTCCTGCCTGCTTCCTATATTTTTTGATTTTCTCAGAAATAAAATTTCTGTCTAACTCAGCCTTAAAATGTATTCAACAAATCAGACTCCACAAGCCTAAAGAATTTCAAAGATTCACAATCCTTTGAGTAAATTAATTTCTCCTCTTCTCAGTCCTAAATAATTGGCCTCTTATCTTCACACTGTTTTTGATTTCGATCAGCAAAAACAATCTCTCAACATCTACCCCTTAAGCCTTCTTCAGAATTATTTGTCTTAAAGTGAGATTGACTCTTGTTTTGCGAAAAGCCAAATGTACTCAGTCTATCATTATAGGACCACTCCTTTTCCCAGAGATCAAGTTGGTGAATGCCTCCTGTAATGCCTCCAAATTGTCCTTTAAATATAGACACCAAAATTGCACGCAAAGGGCCGAATTCTCCGTTGGCAGTAGGGATTTTTAGAATCCAATGGATGTCACTTGCTGGGCCAGTATATATTGCCCTTGAGAAAAAGGTAATGAGCTGCCTTCTGGAACTGCTACAGTCCACATTCTGTAAGTAGACCTACAATGCCGTTAGGGAGGAATTTCCAGAATTTGGAGCCAGTGACAGTGAAGGAACAGCAATGTTTTTTTAATTCAATTGTGGGATGTGGGCAGTGGTGGAGAGTTGCTGTCTTGAACCACTGCAGCCCACCTGCTGTGGGTTGACCCACAATGCCATTAAGGAGGGAAATCCGGGATTTTGACCCAGTGACAGTGAAGGAACAACCATATATTTCCAAGTCAGGATGGTGAGTGGCTTGGAGGGGAACTTTGAGGTGGTGGTATTCTTGTGTACTTGTTGTCCTTGTCCTTCTATATGGTCGTGGGTCTGGAAGGTGCTGCCTAAGGATCTTTGGTGAATTTCTGCAGTGGATCTTGTAGATAATACACACTGCTGCTACTGAACTTCGACGGTGGAGGGAGTGAATGTGGGTGCCTATCAAGAAAGTTGGAATTCTAGATTAGGCTCAGGGGTCACAATTTGAAAGCATATCATAGGCAGGTGCCCTGCAGCTTTTGGAGAGAATGACAGCTGAGCTCTCTGACAAGATGAGGACTGGTGGACACCAGGCCTATGATGGCTGCCATGTTGGTGATGTGCCACTGGAATCAGCCAGGAGGGATTTGTTAGAAAATGCAGAGGCCATGCACAGACTGGAGCGAAAGGCAGGGCCATCTGTCCAGGTTTTGACTGCCATCATGGCTCTGGCATGCAAACACTTAGCTACCTGCCTGGAAAGGATGGTGACTGTCGTGGATAGCTACGTTCAAGCTGACAACTCAATGGCTGCTGGATAAGCTCTTGGACGTGGACTCCATTAATCTGGCCATGGCTAGGTGAGACAGGAATGAGACACGTCAACCTCCCTCCTTCTGCTCAGGGAGGCGCCACTGTGCGCTGAAATGGAGGAGGATCATGTGCCAGTTGACCTGGACCCTTCAACTCAGGATGACTCCAAAATCAGGGGCACCTCTGCACCCCCTCCACAATTGATTCCAACAGCTCCAACAGACAAGGTCAAGGAGATATCCCTGCATTCACGCAGGAGTCCCTGAAGAGGATGTGACCTTCAGGATGTTCATCCTCCACAGCATGAGCTCCCATGGTGAATAGACTGTCTCTAGCACAGCTGCTGGGTTGGGGGTGCAGGCAGATGTAATGGAAGCGAAAAGAAAACTTTAACAAGTAAAACCAAAGGTGGAATAGGTGATTTTTGCCGTTGGTTTTGCCATTTTAATTACACTCATAAGATAATGTAAGTTATATAGCTGAATGTGGCCAAAGCATGAGCCTGTGTTTAACATATTCTGATGGCTCAAGAGGGGATAGCAACATGAGGAAGCACATTTGCTGCATCAAGATCTTTATTGAGTATTCACATGAATTGTCACTTTGGTGATGAGCTTTCAATGGAAGGTATCTTAAAATTTTGTTCAGTACACTCTAGAGGAGATTGGCCCACATACACTTGCAACATTATAACTGAGACCAGTGCAGTTACAATTCTGCACTTTAAAGACAGCACCACATCAGAATTATTGGGCAGAGAGGATTGTAACATGCAAGTATTCCAAAGATGTTCTTGTTAACCACACTCACAAAGTGAGACAAAGCCCCACTGCCTGTTCTAGACCTTTTTAATTCAACCTGTTCCAACAGGTTTGTTACATTGAAATACAAGAACGAGCCTCTCAGCACAACAAGGCTGTGCCAGCATTTATGATGGCCCCCTCGTAGAGACGCACCTTTGAACAGTTGGGACTTGAACTCAGGCCTCCAGGCTCCAATGTAGGGGCACTACCAGAACAGAGCCCTCCACTGTTTGTTCTAGTCCAGATGGTAGACAATGCAGGTCTGTCGATAGGTTATTCCACAGGGGAGGGTGCCAGGGCAAGGTCTATATCCACGGAAGGTGATGGAGCTTTGGTGATGGGTCGCTGGTCATGCAGATGGCTTATTATTAGAGGGACCTTGTGTTAATTAGCTTGCCCCTAGCTTCCATTGCTCATCATCCATTTATCACTTATCCAAATATATGGCCTCCTCCTCGTGCTCTGAAACCTCTGTCAGCTGAGGATGGCTGATGTTCCTTGTGTTTCTCCCATTGCAGAATTGCGTTATCCACATTGTAGGGTCATGTTGTGCAGTGCATATCAAATCATGACATTCTCTGTGGTATGTCTAAGTTCAATGACCCAAGCCTCTATTGCTTCCTGGGAAAGGGAAAAATACAGACTAACAACTCTCTGACAGAAAAATCTCATCATAGTATCTGTCTGGAAAGGGAAACCTCTTATTCTTAAACTATGTCCCTAGTTCTAATCTGTCCATAAGAGAGACTTACCCATACTCACACTCCACATCTTCCTGTATGCAACCTACAGGCCCCCTCAGGATCTTGTACATTTCTGTGAGATCACCTCCCATTCTTCTAAACCCCAGTGAGTACAGGCTCAAGCAGGTCAACCTTTTTTCAAAGGATAACCCCCCTCATCTTAGGAATGAGTTGAGTGAACCTTCTCTCAACCACTTCAAAGTGTATAATTGTTTTTTCAAAACATGTACAAGTCCTCCAGGTGTTTCCTCACCAAAGCCCTATACAGCTGCAGTAAGATTTTCCCTCGTTTAAATTCCATTCCCCTTGCAATTAACTTCAACATTTCATTTGCCTTCCTAATCATTTGCTGAATGTATATACTGACACGCCATTCATGTATCAGGGTACGCAGATCATTCTGTCCTTTATAATTCTGCAATCTCTCCTATTTAACTAGTTGTCAGCTTTTTTACTCTTTACCAATATTTTATTCCATCCGCCATGATTTGGCCCACCCATTAAACCTGCCGAATTTCCCATTCACACTTTTTGGATGAACACCCTTCCTCAGACGGCTGTGAATGGTTCAGAAAGGCAACTTGCTGCCACCTCAAGGCCACTTAGGTTAATAAATGCCCATATCCCAAAAACAAATATATAAATAAATGCGTGCACACACAAAAACAGCAGTGTCCTTGCTGATAACTATCTTCCATGCCACAGTTGACCTGGATCTTAGAATCTCTACAATGTGGAAGCAGGCCATTCGGCCCATCAAGTCCACACTGCTCCTCCGAAGAGCATCCACCCAGACCCAACCCCCTACCCTAGAATTTTGCAAACTCCACACAGAGAGTTGCCCAAGGCTGGAATCAAACCCAAGTCCCTGGTGTTGTGAGGCAGCAGTGCTAACCTCTGAGCCACTGTGCCAACCTGATCACTGTCTTATTGCTCTTTATGGGAACTTGCTGTGCACAAATTGGCTGCCAGCCTTCCTATATCACAGTAATGGCTATGCTTCAATAAATCAGCTGTAAGATGCTTCAGGGTATGCTGAGGAACTGAAAGGTGTGATATGTACGCAAGCGGCTGCCTGGTTGCCTTTCTCTTTGTAATCTGCTTTTGTTTTTGCACAGGGCATCTTCAGTCCCTAAAAAAAATCCAAACTTCTTCAGAAATGGGCTGGTCCCAGAGTCATAAGGTACCCAGCACTGAGTACCTCCTCCATGTGGATGACTGACCAATAAGAGAACGAGGCACAGAGACGGGGAGCTACAACTACTTATCTGTATGCTGTGCTATTCACTTGTTGCGTTCCATTCTTTGTTGCTGTTAGTTGATCTCTGCCCCCTGAGCAGCAAGCTCGTTCTCTGCTTTTGAAGGAAACAGGGGTCCCATTGTCACTGGAGATACCTCGGGATCAGTTCAAGTGATTAGGATAGTTAGCATGAGACAGGACTTGCATTCCCAAGGTAAAATAAGCCTGGCAACATTCCCAGAACCCCACAGAGCACACTGCTAATAGTGGTGAGAGCCAACAGTTCGAAACCAACCTTTACACTTTGTGTTAGACTTAGCCTGCTATAAGCTCACTGTTTCACATCAATTCCCTAATCAGTATTGCATGCCACTAGGCATTAGAGCCGTCTTCCATCACCTCAGAGGATAATTCAAGTCACTTCTCTTTCAGCTCTGCCCCACATCAAGTTACAGTTCCCATCATTTACACCATCCACATTTATGTAGGGCAACCACCTGCATAAGGCAAATTGTACCAACTATATGTCATCACTATGCACATCAAACACAAAGACACCACTGAAATGTATTCGAGCGCATCAGATATTTTACAGGCAGCTTAGGACCTAGCCCATTTAAAATGCTCCACTGATTTCAAACCAAGTGAAGCTTTTGTGCACCTTCATCAGCTCAAATCTTTAACTACAGCAGACAAATCGTTAACTGTAGATTTTACTAGTCTCTCCTGGGAAATTATATCACTGCAAGGTTGGAAGAAAATTAAAATGTCTGAAGTGTAAAGACAGGAAGGTAGAGAGATTTGCATTTAAACAGCACCTTTCAAAATCTCAAGGTGTCCCAAACCACCTTTCTGCAAATAGAATATGGTTGCACACTACAGAAATTGCTGAAGAAACTCAGCAGGTCTGGCATCACCTGTGGGGAGCACGCACAGATACGAGATGCTGCCAGACCTATTGAGTATGTCCAGCAATTTCTGTTTCTGTCTCAGATTTCCAGCATCCACAATTCTTTATTTTATGTTATGTACACACACCTCAGCTATTCCTTCAAAATCTCCCCACCCCCGACCACATCCTCCTTCTCGTCCCCGCCTCCTTGACCTGTCTGTCTTTTCTCCCACCTATCCGCCCCTCCCACTTCACTGACCAAGCCCCACCCCCACTTCCTACCTACACTCACCTCACCTCTACTAGCCTCATCCCCGCCTCCTTGACCTGTCTGTCTTCCCTCCCACCTACCCGGCCCTCCCTCCTCACTGATCAACCCCCATCCCAACTCCCTACCTGCATGCACCTTTACTGGCTTCATCCCCGCCTCCTTGACCTGTTCGTCTTCTCTCCCACCTATCTGCTCCACTATCCACCTTCTATCATCGCCTCCCCAACTCTCTATTTATTTCAGAAGCCCCTTCCCCTCCCCCATTTCTGAAGAAGGCTCCAGAGCCAAAACGTCAGGTTTCCCGCTCCTCTGATGCTGCCTGGCCTGCTGTGTTCATCCAGCTCCACACCTTGTTCTACCTATTTCATCACCTTTACCTACAAGAGTCCATTTGCCAACCAATTAGCATTTTCCACTCACACAGTATAAATGATTTTTTTCTCTTGTCATTGGTGTTCTTGCAAATTGTCCTAATGAATGTAAAATGAAAAGCTTCAACAAAAATGTCTTGTTTCAGCAAGTTTTGTATTACCAAACGACTGTTTATAAGTGTTCAAGTTTGATATGCGGCTCATTGGTTCCCTCTGCTTGTTTTTCCTCACAAATCTTGCTAGCCCTTGCAGTTTGAGAGCTCTTCAGTATTGATGGCATTGGAAAACATTCCCATCTCATTGACAATACGAAACAAATTCCTTACACCAACATAAAATAGAATCCATTGAGATTAGTTTTGTTTAGATTTTCCATTAGCTCTTTGAAACTTTCCATCTTCCCCATCTGTTTCTTGACAGGCTCTTCATTGATCGGTTGTTCCTCTGCCCGCTCACTCATTTGAGCAGAGCTGTCGTAATTTAGTTTTTAACTTCAAAACTTGTCCATGGATTACTGAGCCATTTAAAGTTTCCTCTGGCCCAGCAGGATTTATAATCTTTACTGAGAGCCTCCAATGTCTATTCATGCATGTTTGAACTTAGACTCCAGGCTGCTCCCACAGACACACCTCACACCACCACCTATATTTGTTTTCAAGTTATAAATTCCTCTTTTCCCCAAAGTAGAGAGCCAACTTTCTTGTTGCAGTAACTCATTCCAGCTCTAAAATGCTTTTACCATTGTTATGATAGAGTCTAGAGGAATGCCCTCTATCTTTCTTTATGTCCACTGCTCCACTGACCAAAACATAGTTATAGGTTTACCCATTTACTCTTATGACAAATTGGAATTTTTAAAAAAATCTATATTGGGTTTTAAACATAACAAAGTCTATCAACCAAGTTTCTTTAACAAACAAAGAAAAGAATTATTGCAAAAATTAGGCTTATTTAGCAAAGGTGTAAAAGCTAATTTACATATAGTTTAAAACATGACAGTATAAATATCTAGAGATAGTAGGAACTGCAGATGCTGGAGAATCCGAGACAACAAGGTGCAGGGCTGGATGAACACAGCAGGCCAAGAATCTCTTTTTAAATGGCCACCCCAGGAAAAAGGAGGAAAGAAATGACTCTCTATCTCTCTTCGCAGAGATTCACTTTGGGGAATAAAACCTTTGGTCAATAATGGTTTGTTCTTGAATGCACAAGGTGTGAGATGGTTGTCCGTCTATCATTCTGAGTGACACTAAATGTAGGCAGTTCTCTCTGGGATGTCCACAAATGCAGCCTCCTAGGAAACAGGATTTCTCCAGACACTGTTCAAGAGGACAATCAGGTTTCACAGCAAGGACAGTCAAGCTCTATTTCTTTAACAGGTTGGTCACCTACTGCTCCAAACAATGTCTGAAACAGACACTTCCATCCAAAATAGTCATAAACCCAAACAGCGGGCTCATAGAAAAGAAATTATTATCACAAGACATGTCACTATCAAGAAATGTCTCATTAAAAAAAAGTTTTAAATTGCTTGCATTAACCTCTAAAATAAAAATGGGCATCCACAATTCTTTAAATGCAAGTCCACAAAAATTCACAACATCAATCATTGGAGTATTCTTCCTTGTTGAGGACCGTCATGAGGATTTCTTCTGTAGGACTGTTAAAACTTGAGCTCTTCCCTACTGCTGACTGAGCTATGTGAGCAGGCGACCGAAAGCTGATCCTGAAGATCTCACGCTGCTGCTCACCACATTGCATGGACATGCCAGCTCACCACACTGTATGAGCTACTGCTCACGAAGATTACCTCCAACATCTACTAAGTGTAGGAAACCAAATTGTTTGTCTAGTGGTCACTTAGTCTTGTGTGACAGTGGAAGATCACATCCCTGGTTAAACTAGAAGAGTCTCTTGTAGTTAACAAAATACAGTTTATTACATGGAACAAAGACAGAAGTTGCTGGAAAAACTCAGCAGGTCAGGCAGCATCTGTGAAGAAAAAATCAGAGTTAACGTTTCGGGTCCAGTGACCCTCCCTTAGTAGGGAAGTTTATTACATGTTAGCAACTAGTTGCAGGTTATTTTGATACAACAAACATAGTTAGACTTTGAGGGGGATTACGTCTTAGATTCTCAAAGGAGAGAAAGCGAGACCTAAGCTGCTCTACCCTTAAGTCCATCTGACGTAATCATAAACGGTGGTTTTTATGGCACTCCTCACTATTAACCGTTTCAGACCCATTTACAACACCACACTGCCTCCGTACAGCACTGGGCAACAGCCTGGATGTTGCACTCAGCTCTGTTCCCACAAGCCCCTGGGATAAGCGCTGTCACGGGGTTATACAATCTTGCAAGACTTACGTGAATTTAAGGCAAGGTGGCAATTATAGCCAGCCCAACCTGGACGACAGAGACAGGCAAATCGGTTTACATCATCCACGCAGGTTCCACCATTGACACAGGGATTACTGGCACACTCGTTTATATCTGAGGGCAGAGAGTGTAAGCAATGGGCAGTATTAGATTCAAAGGACGTGTTGTTCTCTTGAACTGGCAAACAATTTACACTTAAACGGCACCTTTACCGAGGTGAACAGCCCCTCGAAGGCACTTCACAGAAGAAACCTCCATACTGAACCCCAGAAGGAGACGTTAGGGCAGGCGATGAGGTAAGTTTGAAAAGGAGATAGAGGCGAGAAAGATTTAAGAAGGGAATTCCACAGTCAAAGGTGCTAGATGGTCAAAAGAAGGCACAAATTGACAACGGAGGAGCAAAGAAAATTTGAAAAAACACAAAAGACCTGAATTGGAAGAGGCCCGAGGTCTGGGAGGGGCTGTAGGATTTGAGAGGAATATAGACATAAGTAGGAGGTAGCCGTGGAAGTCCTTGATGCGAATAACATAAATCAGCAAGAACAGAAAATGACAGGCAAATGAGACTGGCAGGATGTGAAGTGTGGTCCTCATCAGAACTCATTCACCAGCACAGACAGGTATCCTACCTCAACTGCATGGAGTCAGTGGAGGGGGGGCAGCCCTGCATGGTCTACGAAGTAGATGTGACACTTAATGAACAGCAAAGTCTGTGCAGACTCAAGACAACATCGGGAAACAAAAGAAGAGGATGGTACAGCCAAAGGCATGAGCTGGAAATGGTCTGTGGCCCACTCCTACCCCTTCCGTTACACACACGCACGATCGAGAACTATACCACACCCACATTATGGCAAGGAAACATAAACAACTCTGAAAAAATTGCCAACTGCAATTTTCTGCTGGGTTTGACAGTGTGGAACACAGTCACCGTGGTAACTCAGGCAGGGTGAATATGGAGGGCATTTAATACAGTCCTTGAAACCACAGCAATTTGTGTAAAAAAAATGCTTACTTTCACATGTCAAAATGAGTTTTTAAAGAGTAGTATCTGTAAGCATTATACTATGGAGAAAAACAACAGATTTGTGCACAGCAAGATCCCACTAACAGCAATGTAAGAATTACCAGTTTATCTTGTTTAGTGACACTGTTTGAGACATAAATATTGATTAGGGCATCAGAAAGAACTTCCCTGAACTTCTTCACAGAGCGGCGTGGGATCATTTAGGAAATGCACTGCAACACCGGGATTCGCACAGTACTGCAGATTGTTTGCTCTGGATTAGGATTTTAACCCTTGATTCAGGTGGGAGCATCCCCAATTTAACCACAAGGTGGACAAAACACTTCATACCACCTTGACATAGTCCATGGTTATACAAGGCCTGATGTATGTTATAAATCAGGAAGTGATAATATTTCCCTCAGAGAATAGTGAAACAGGCGACCGGTTCATATTCTGAACAGTGCAAAAATATACCCCTCCCCAAACCCTCCACTGAGCCCCCTTGCAGCATCCCTATTCACTTAACTCCTTTGTGTCCTCTCCATCTCCCCCAGTTTCCTTGCAGCCTCCCTCATCCCTCACCTCATTGGGCCCAGTGGGCTGATGGCATCTCTCCACTCCCCCAACGCCCATATCAGCTAGGCCCAGCCTTCAAACTCCAGATCCTCCAGCAACTCCCTCCCTGACAACACTTACTCCTTCAGGCACAGACTTTCTCTCTCTCTGCTGAGCAAACACAGGAAAAACCCACCCTGAGAGCAGAATGGTAACAGGGTACTCTTTCCTTCTGTCCTATTCTGGAGGGTGACTTTTCTCCAAGTGGTCACCCCATGGTTGAATTTTCCCAGTCAATTTGGAGATTATGAGGGCAGAACTGCCCACCACTCCTGATCATTTTGAGTTTTGCAACGAAGGCTAATGTGTTGAATTCCCCAACTAGAAGAGAGAGGTCTGGCTGAAGAAATTATCTCTTGGTAGTAGGGGCAGATTGATCGCTTTGGCTAAGTTCAATCACCTAAAGAGGGTTGGGAGAGGAATTTCCCATCTTGATTGCTTAACTGTTCTGGGGGTCATCTGGTATTTTGACTTTGCCAGAAGGTTGCATGTTATCCAGAATGACAGGTGCCATTAATGTGATGCAACAAGGTATCGCAATTGTGTGGGCTAGGCTGGATGGACTAAAGTAGCCTTTTGTCTGTACCTCTCCAGACACTTTTCACAGTATTATATCAGTGTTAATTGGAGGAGACCGCTGTCTCCTTTTGCTGTCTGTGTGTTTAGGCCTATCTTTTGAGCTAATTTTATGTGACCATATTTTCCAGACTGATCTTATTTTTCTCTCTTGTCTCTCACATCCTTTAATAAAACTACACGTAGTTGTCCAACAGCTTCTTCTTTTGACAAGTTATAATCAGTGGTCAGGGAGGTGATGGCCTGTTAATCCAGAGACTCAGGTAACATGCTGGGGACCTGGGTTCAAATCCCACCATGTCCAATGGTGGAATTTGAATTCAATAAATATCTGGAATTAAGAGTCCAATGATGATCATTGTCAATTGTCGGAAAAACCCATCTGACTGACAAATGGCCTTTGGGGAAGGAAACTGCCATCCTTACCATGACTGGCCTACATGTGACTCCAGACCCCCAGCAGTGTAGTTGTCTCTTAACTGCCCTCTGGGCAATAAATCCTGGGTCTAGACAGTAATGGCCAATCCTGCTAATGAATAAAACAAAACACCAATACCAGTTGTGCCACGCTCTTCCATATGGCGGAGGATATGGTTTCTTTGAACTACCAGCTGTCTTCAGATAAGACTGTGTCTTCTATCCTTGTGCCAAAGCTGTTCCCAGCTAACTTGCCTGTTTTAGCATTTTGAACATCCTAATCGAATATCCACTAACCTTCCTCGGGTCAGTTTAATAGACAGCAATTCAATCCTCTCTATTCTTAAAGAGCGCACATTTGTCTCAGTATCAATTCCAGCATTTGTATTCTTCGCTAACACCAATCTTGTAATTCTACAAACTGGATCCAAGTGATTATGTCCTTAATGGTACTGTACAACACTTGTATATTTCAGTGTCGGCTCCTGTACATATGCACACTGGCTGATGAAAATTATGCTCACCCTCCACCACTGTACAACACATGTCCCTTTATTAATTCCCGTGCACATACACAGTGAACAAAAGGAAGTAACTCATTCACATCTGCTAACCTGGGCAAGAGGGAGCAGTTTACTCGTGAATGTTAGTGGATCTGATTCTGCTCCAATACAACTACTTATTCAATTCTGTAAAGGTGCTTACTGTAATTAGAGGGTTAGTGAAGTGAGATACTGTAACGGGAGGCACAGGTTTACCAAAATATTACCTTCACAATGTAATCCAAGAAGACTGAACACTTAAGAAGCTACAGTTATTATTAATTATCAAAGTGGCTGGTGCTTCTGAGTCTGTGCAATAAAATGGGCCATGTCAGCTCAACAAAAGCCTTTGAACTAGTTTCAAAATTAATTTTGCTGCCATTATATAGGAATTACTGCACTATGAGTCTCTGGGTTGGAGTTCTTAAGCAGGAATAACATATAATTATATTGCTGACACACCAGGAATATCAACAGTACTCCAGAAGTGAGTGCTTAAAACCAGTAGTGGCATGCAATGTTTCTGGCTTGCAATATAAATATTTATTCTTTACCTCACTTAGTGCTGGACACTTACTTTTACAGAAAGGCAGTTGTCCACTCCATGTCTTATCTTTGAGGCACACCCTGGTGTTTGATCCCACTAAGACAAAACCAGGATCACAGACAAAGTGTACCTCATGGCCAACTAAATACCTGCTTCCAAACTTCTTTCCATTATTCGGAGCATTGAGTTTGGGACAAGTTTCTGTGGAAATAAAACGTAGAAAGTGAAACTGAGGAGAAACAAGGTCACAGGTTACTATAGTGAAAGATGGTTTCTGGTCTGGGCCATGGCCTTAAAAAAGAAAGAACTTAAAACTGGAATACAACTTTTACAACCTGGCTACATGCCAAAGTGTGTGACAGACAAATATGTGCGTTAGTATTTGCCATGTGCTCACTGTTGTGATGAAGGTATAGGAGCAGCCAATTTACACGCAGCAAACTCCAATAAGCAATGAGATACATGATCAGAACTTTGCTTCATGTCATTCCATGAAATATTTTAATCCCAACTGTGATCTTGGTTTAGCATCTTATGCAAAAGATGCCATATTTCTAAGTGTGGCACTAAAGAGAAAGCATAGATTACAAGCTCATGTCTCTAGAATGGGAACTTACCCGCACTGTGAAGGAAGAAGTGTAAATAAATATGGCCAAAATGAAGGATAAATGAGTTATTTGCCTATAAGCAAGAACATAAAGAATTTTGTGAAAGGTTACATCTCAAGAAAGACACACAAAAACTGCACACCAGCATATTTCTTTCAGTACATCAACAGGAAAGACAACATTAGATTTTATAAAAATGAGTTTATACTGAACTGGAATTTTTACAACTTTAACCATGTTAGTCAAGGTTCTGTGTTTTAAGATTATAATGGAAAGTAGCCTCCACTACCCTTGTTAGGTTCGCTTTTGTAGAATTAATGAGGCCTGCAATTTATGTAACATTTGAATGTGAGACAATATTTATCAGGACCAAAAAGAGCTGCTATGTTATGTAGAAATTACGTTCCAGTTTTAGTTGTGATCATCTAAAGTGGCTAAGCCTAATTATAATTTAAGATATAGCTCCTATATATAGGAGATATACATGCAGCCTCAAAGAACAATAAGTTGTCTTATGGCCATATACACATTTGATAAGAATCTGATAAGAAGTTGAAAGAAACATTTTATGCTTTAGATTCTTTAACTCACGTCTACTAACATCTCCTTACAAGAAAAAGGCTTGACTACCAAGGCTCAGCGATGAATTTTTCTCTAACTGCGAGTGAGTAACTATTTGGAGGATTTTGATAAATGCAAAACTAATTGATGAATTTTCTATTCAAAATACTTTACGATAGTAGCAACTACAAATTAGATTCGCTACTAGAAATAACACTACTTATTCAGAATCTACTTAATGTTACAATTGACCTTTTCCACCCAATTGTATGTTTGGCTGTTTGATGAACTTTTCTATATTTTAGAATTGATATTGTTTCACAGTGCTACTACCTGACTTCAGGCTGCAGAGCAGTTAGTGATTGTTACACATTAAAATGGAGTTATTTCTTTAATTCATGAAAATAACACATTTTAACACTTAATTAACACAGTTGGGAAACTATGAAAGGAGGTTCAGAAACATTAAAGAAATGTGGTGGCCATATCATAAAAGTTACTAGGGAGGGGAAGTCTTAAGTTGTTATGGTGACATTATTGCTATAGTCAGAGGTTGTATTTCCATATCCTAGTAAAAATGGATATAGATGAAAGTGTGTTGAAAAAGGTGAAAACAGCAGCCTAGTTAATCAAGCACTTTGCATCTGTTTTCACAACAGAAGAAGACGGCAAAATCAATAATACCAGACAATCTAAAAACAAACCAGGGAAGGAAGCTTAATCAATATACAATCAGCAAAAGAAAGTCACAAAGTCAAAAAGAACCAAGAGACAAAAGCTTCCATGGTCTGATGTTTTCGTTTTTGAAAAACAGGTAGGGAAAATACATCGGTCAGAATTTTTCACAAATCAATAAATTCAAGGGATTGTGTCATTACATGGGAAATTTACCAACATCACTTCAGTGCTTATGATGGGACAGCAGGAGAAATCAGCTACCAACAGATCTGTCAGTTTAGTAAAAATTATGGGGAAATTACTCAGTTATCAGACATTTATGGCTGAGTACCTAAATCAACTGGCTGAAGTATAGATTTGCGAGCATAGGATATGTTTAACTGATTGATTCCTTTCAGGAAATCAGCAGCCCGATTTACACATTTGGTAAGTATCTAATAAGAGTTTATCAAAAATGCCTCTGGTGATAGATTTCAGCGACATTTGATATTTGATGCCTCTTTACCCTTCACATTCCCTTTCCACCCTGAAGCTTAAAAACCATTCATTTCACCTGATCTGACACAAAGTATTTAATTTGGAACATTAACGAGAAGTTTGTTTTTGCTTTTGCCAGAAACGTTGTTTGATATGCTGAGTGTTTCCAGGTGGAATCAATGTGAGTGTATAAAGTTGAGACTTAGATCAGTCATGGTCCATCTGAAAAATGGCATACACACTCAAAAGGCTGGTTGGCCTATTCCTGTTTCTGAAATAACTCCACAGAGGCCGGTATCCTGTCACCAAGTCACCCTTTATTTACACATGAACAGTCTTTGACGCTCTGAGAGCTAGATCTTAGAGTGAGCAGAACCACATCTCTTGCGTTTCCTGCAACTCATCCCTCACACCCCCTCCCTGCAATAACTACAAAGACAGAATTCCCCTCGTCCTCACGTACCACCCCACCAACCTCCAGATTCAACGCATCATCCTCCGCCACTTCCGCCACCTGCAATCTGACCCCACTACCAAGGACATTTTCCCCTCCCCACCCTTATCTGCATTCCAGAGGGACCGCGCTCTCCGTGACTCCCTTGTCTGCACCACACTCCCCACTAGCCCCACCCCTGGCACTTTTCCCTGCAACCGCAGGAAGTGCTACACCTGCCCCTACACCTCCCCCCCTCACATCCATCCCAGGCCCCAAGAAAACCTTCCACATTAAACAGATGTTCACCTGCACATCTGCTAATGTGGTATATTGTATCCGCTGTTCCCGATGTGGCCTCCTCTACATCAGGGAAACCAAGCGGAGGCTTGGAGACTGCTTTGTGGAGCACCTACGTTCGGTTTGTGACAAACGACAACACCTCCCAGTCACGAACCACTTCAACTCCCCTTCCCACTCCTTGGACGACATGTCCATCCTGGGCCTCCTCCAGTGCCACAACGATGCCACCCGAAGGCTGGAGGAACAGCACCTCAGATTTTGCTTGGGAACCCTGCAGCCCAATGGTCTCAATGTGGACTTGACAAGCTTCAAAATCTCTCCACCCCCGACCTCATCCCAAGACCAGCCCAGCTCGTCCCTGCCTCCTTGACCTGTCCGTCTTCCCTCCCACCTACATGCCCCTCCCTCCCAACTGACCAACCCCCATCCCAACTCCCTACCTATACTCACCCTTACTGGCTCTATCTCCGCCTCCTTGACCTGTCCATCCTCTCTCCACCTATCTGCTCCTCTATCCACCTTCCATCATCGCCTCCTTCTCTCTCTATTTATTTCAGAGTCCCCTTCCCCTCCCCCGTTTCTGAGGAAGGGTCCAGACCCAAAACGTCAGCTTTCCTGCTCCTCTGATGCTGCCTGGCCTGCTGTGTTCATCCAGCTCTACACCTTGTTATCTCAGACTCCAGCATTGGCAATTCCTACTATCTCTGTTTATATCTGTCAGTCAGGGCTCCTGATTGGACCAGGTTAACATCCTCAATCAGGGAACTCATATTCTATGAAGTCCACCCAGCTGACCTTGTTACAACCACTAGCTTCCCCTCCCCCCTGAGTCCGAGGACGTAGGCCAGTTTTTTTTTGTAGCTCCTCCTGGGGCATTTTAGCACCGGGTCAGGTTCCTCCAACTCTGCCTTTCATACGGGTGACGTGTAATGCACAGCGGCTCATCTCTTACACCTGGAGCATCTCGGAATAAATTCATTCTCTTCTTCAGGCAGCAAAGGCATCGAGGCAGCGATATCGGCGTGTCCATCTCAGATTCCAAGGTATCTTCAACGTTTCATGGATAGGGAGAATCCATAGGTTCTGAAACAGTTGGAAAGGCAGTGGAGGAGCCAGGCACATTTTGCTCCCGTACTATTTGCGAGTTTGCAGCTTACGTCTGATCCACAAATGGTCCAGGGCCGTCAAGCCTACCCAAACTTTATACGTCACTGGACCTGACTTCACGTCGACCATCCCTCTTACTCATGCAAGGCCATTCCCATGGTTCCTATACCAAATTTTGTCTCCTGCAGAAAAATGTCTCTCTCACTTAGTGGAGCCTTGTGTCCAGCAGTGACGTTCCTGATGCTGTTTCACCCTCAGGGAGGTCCAGGAAGATCAGATTTAATCTGGTGTGCAGTCTTCTCCCCATTAGCAACTCTGCTGGAGTTATCCCTGTAGTTGCTTGAGGGGTGGTCCTATAATCAAATAGGAACCGGGATAGCATATCTAGATAGCAACCGGTATCTAGTGAAACTGTAGGCTGTTTCTTTAAGCCTGCCTTCAAAGTTTGGACTGCTCTTTTTGTCAGACCATTACATGTTTGTTGGTATGGAACTCTCCTTACATGTCAAATACTGTTCGACTTTAAGAAAGACTGAAATTCCCTGCTAGTAAACGATGTCCTGTTATTTGTGGCTAACACTTCCAGGAATCTGTGTTTGATGAATGAACTCTATGCATGTCTGGCCACTTTATGTGGGCATCTACAATGACTAAGAAAATTGAGCCCATGAAAGGACCAGTATAGTTGACATGTAACCGATTCCAGGGTTTATCTGACCCTTCTCACAAATGAGGGGGAGCGGCTGGCAGTATTTTTTTGTCCTTGTTGGCACTCTGGGCATTGCCCCACCAATGCGATTATGTCTACATCCAACCCTAGACCCTACATCCCTACATCCACCAGACATAACTTCTCACCAACATCTTCAGTTTGGAAACACATGGGTGACCCTGGTGGAGTTCAGCCTGTATCTAGTGGTGACCTTTGCTTGGGACAATCACTCTTGCTCCCCATAATAATACACCATCCTCTACTGTGATCTGGTCTCTCCAGGTCCAATAAAAGGTTTCAGTTCTGGTTGTGAGGGCCTTTGGTTTCTCCCATCACCACCAAATGTTTCAGTTTTGCAAGGACTGATCTTTGTGCATCCAAAGTCTGATATTCTCAGCTGAGACTGGAAGTGTGTTCAGAAAATTTAAAACCATTACAGACTCTTCCAGGGGCAATATCATTGGTGGTGTGCCCACCAACACGAGGTGGCTCAGTGCATCTGCATTTGCTACTTGGACTCTCGGACAGTGTTCCAACTTGCACTTAGTATCAGAGCCCACCACTGAATTTGGACTGAGGTTATGGGTGGCACTGCCTTGTCCTCTTTAAGTAGACCTAGCAGGGGTTTGTGGACAGTAGTTGTTACAATTTTACATCCGTAAAGGTATTGGTGGAATTTCCTAACTCCAAATATGATCACCAAAGCTTCCTTCTCTATCTGGGTGTATTTACTCTCTGCACTAGCTAAAATCCTGGATGCATCCATTATTGGGCATTCCTCTTCATTGGGCCACATATGAGCTAATACTACCCCAATGCCATACAGGGAGGCAATGCATGTCAATACCAGATCTCACTTGGGATTGTAGTGTGCCAACACTTTAGAGGACGATAGCTGTTCCTTGACTTCCCTGAAAGCAATGGCTTGGTTATGTGAGCATTTCCAAGTCTGACCCTTTTTGAAGTGTTGATGCGAAGGTGCCAGGCTGGAGGCCAGGTTATGCATGAGCTTTCTGTAATAATTCACCAGCCCAAGGAAATCTCTGGTACAGAAGTGGGAGCCGGGACACTTTTGATTGCCCTCACTTTATCTTCTAACAGGTGTAACCCAGCCTTGTCAACTCTGTAGCCCAAACAGGTCACTTGGGGTGCCTGGAACATACATTCTTCCCTTCTAAGACATATGCATGCCTAGGAGAAACATCTAAGGACTATGTCCAAGTTCTCTAAGTGTTCCTTATTGGTCTTCTTAGTTATTAACAAGTCATCTAGATAAATGGTGACCTGGGGTAGTCCAGGTAAAATGTTTCCCATTGTTTAATGAAAAGATGGACAGCCTTGAGACTTAGACTGAGGCAAATTAAACTGAAGCAACTTGCTTCATAAAGTACCTCAAATGGCAAATTCTCAAAGGCAATTCACAGGAGCATAAACCCACCAAAATACAAATTTTAAATACACATCGAGGATTGCCTTTTAAAATAAGGGTTGAATTACAAAGATAGATTCCAGAGATTAGGCTTGTATTTTCTCGAGGTTTTTCATTCGATTAAAAGTATTGATACTGCTGACACAACAAAATCATTTTCTCTGGTGAGGGAGTTCAGAACAAGTAGCAGAATCTTCAAATTAAACTCTAGATCATTAAGGAAGGCACATGACACAAAGAATGGTGGGTGTCTACAACTCCTTCTCTCAAACTCTCTTGAAGCTGGGTGTCAGTAGAATGCTTCAGATGGGAGTTGATAGATTTTTGTTAGGCAAAGCATTACAGAAATAAGTCAGGTAATGGAGTTAGGATACAGATCAGCCATAATTTGCTTAAATGGTAGAACAGACTTGCAGTGCTAAATGGGCATGCTTGCTGTAACCTACCATTGTGCTTTGAAGTCTGTTTATTTACTGTGTTTTGCAGGAGGCTGAGCTTCCTCTTCATCATGCGCATTCCTTGTGTGTACTGGGCTTCCTGAGTGGATAGTAGTTTCTGCATCTGGCGAATTGCACTTAATACCTGTTGCTTACTGGGACAACCCTGCAAAGACAGAACACAGTATAGGTACATCATATCATTTCTGCCATATGCCCCACTTCTACATTAAAAAAAAAGACTCTTTCAAAGGGCTTTGCTTGATGCAAGGCATGATGAACTCGCAAACATACAACCTGGGAAGAAACTAAAGTATTCAGTGTCTGCTAATATGTAACAAAAACCATATGCTTAAAAGGAATCGACAAGAGGCATTTCCTTGGCATTGCTAGTAAATTGGTCATCTAGTTCGGAAGTTCATCAATTATGTGTCAATTAGTCACGGCTTGATTGTTAACAATGTTATTTCAGAACCTGAAGCCCAAGGGTTCAAGATCCATTCCGGAAACCGGAACACAAAGTGCAGGAAGAAATCCAATGTGGTCGTGAGGGGTTCCTGCACAGTCTCACATTTCTGCTGCGATATTAAACGAAGGTACCGCATCCACCTTCTGTTGGATCTAAACGAACCAAGGGTACTCTCTCCAAATCATGAGGGAGTTCACAGTTTTTGACCAACTTCATGCCTCAACAAATAAAGTATGATTATCTGCTTGCCTTGGTCATCGAGTTGAATTTTGTTAATACTATAAGATTTAACAAATTCCTGTTTCAGTAACAAAGACTCCAATGGGCCGAAGAGCCTTTTTTTCTGCGCTGTACCTCTCTGTGACTCCTGACTGAGGAAAGAATGTAGCTCAGTGTAGAATGTAACTCGTTCTATTCCACCCAAGGATTCATTCAAATCTCAACATCTTCCTTACCATCCTCTACTGTGCCAACAGAACGCTTTCAGTTCCTGCAACAAGTTCTGTGGCTTCTCTGAATGAATGAATGTCAATTTTGGCCAAATTCATCATATTTTGGTCATGTCACCCTCTGCTTCACTTGCTTGATACTGCCCAAAGTATTCATGGAGAGAATATGCAGGCAACACAACCATCTTCTGATGAGCAGAGCCAGTCAAATATGCTCAGATTGATCTTTGTAGCCTAGATGCACATACTTCTGCCAAAAACTGAAAGTAAAGTTGAATTATATTTTGTATGTCCTTTGACTTGCCATTTACACTGCCAATAGGATACCAAGTTAAATCAATATATTCTATATGTGGTACATGATGCAGCACTGTTTTATATAATACAATATACATACAAACATATACCACCAACCAACTTTACCTAATACCTGTTTAATTAAAGGCTTGATAACAATGCTTTTCAAAGAATTTAAAAGAAACTATTTTGATGCAAAACCTTAATTTGTATGGAATTAGACCTGTAAATTATCCGGGCAACAGGGACCTGATTTGGATTGAAACATTTCCAAAATTACAGAGAACGCCAGATATTTGTACGGTAATCTAAGTCCACTGTAAATTTGTTTCTGTACACTGAGAAAATCATACTGGGCTTTGCAGGTTCACAGTCATAGACTGTTTCACTGTGCTACGTCATCAACTATGAAATAATTACTGTTAGAGACTTGCAATGAATTGAGTGAAGCTGCAAGCCTTTCAGTCCATTGGCCTTCATTCTGACAGATACCTCCTCTCATAGGCAATCCAAGCCTAACCAGAAACAAATCCATCTCTCACCTGAAGGATGGCATCTCTAATACAATTGCCTCAGTCCTGCATTGGAACGTCCACTTAACATTTTTGCTCAGGCACTGTACAATTGGACAAACGTCAAGCTTCTGACATTGAAGCTACATTATCCACTGTCCATATTGGCTGTCCATAGTGAGCATCTCACTCACTGCTATTCTCCTGTCTTATTCCTATAACCATGCACAAAGTTATTTAAAAGGAATAATTTAATACCTCAGCTTTAGAATACCTCAGTTGAACCTGCTGTGGAAACCAAGTCATCCCTGGCACACAAGTAGGTTCAAACATCGTACATGAAATAACATGACATTCTGAAACATTCCAATAAAATTTTTACTGAGTAGACATTTGTTAAATTTGGCCAATGTCCAAAAATGTCACCAAAATACAGAATCTTGTCATCATGACTGCCCAATTTCACGCTGAATCAGCAAAGGGCAGGCATCAATGGAAAAGGTCAGGCAATTCTCCAATGCTGTACAGATTACATTAAGAGCTCCTGTGCTGCAATGTTAGTATCTCTACCCTTGGGCCAGGAGGTCAGGGTTCAAGTTCCAGTTGCTCCAGAGTTCTGTAATAACAGCTCTGAACAGGTTGATTAGAAAATACGTCCATATGTACTGTCTTGAACCAAACTCAATTCCAGAGAACAGGAAGGAACCGTGAATCTTGGAGCCTTCAACAGGAAAGAAGCCTTGGAGAAACTGTTGTGCTGACAGAAGTTACACAGATTGGGGCATGCAAGACCATGTCAGCACAAGGATGAGAGCTCAAACTTCGAGGCACTGCAATTCTGATCTCTCATGCATCCCTGACTTCCTTTGTCCAACAAATTGTAGGTGCGCATTTGAATGTTTAGGTCCTACACTCTGGAAGGTCCTCCCTGAACGTCACTCCCTCCCCAACTCTCTCTCTCCTTTTAGTCACTTCCTTAAGCCTACTGCTGCCCTAATATAATTTTCTGCAATTTTGTGTCAAATTACATCTGGTATTGCTCCAGTGTTTTGACTTAGGACATTTTACTACAATAAAGATTCAGGTTCTTGCTACTAAAACAGAAACTAGTAACAGGAGTAAGCCATTCAGCCCTTCAAATCTGCTCCACCATTCAATAAGATTTGCTGATCATCTATCTCCATGCCATATTTTCACTTCCCCTTCGTGCCTTTAATATCTAGAAATGTATCTCTTTCTTGATATTCAGTGATCTGGCCACCAAAGCGCTCAATGGTAGACAGGTTCACTGCACTTTGAGTGAAAGTACGATTCCTCATCTCAGTCCCTAAATAGCCAAGTTAGCAGATGCAGGACAAATTCAAATAGCTCTTATGTTAGGGAGGAGATAAAACTGTCAGCATTGCTAATTCTGATCACTCTTACTGTAAAAGGGCCTCATGTGAAAGTCAATGGAATAGAATCATTCATGGCTGTGTGGATGAAAATTCACACTGTATGAGTGAGGTTGTGCATAAGACTAGGTATTTGACCAAGGTATGCTGGAAAACAGCCGAGGAATGTGAATTGTATGGTCAGATAGAGGAAAAGAAAGGAAACTTAAAAGAAACCAATCCAAAAACTTTGCCTTGCTTTGAAGGAATGCGTATGGCTCCACCTTAAAATCCAACTCATTTGGGAGTTGTCAAATCACCCATGTTCGTATTTGCTTTCGTCACTGTTAAATATTGTAATGAGAGATGATGGGTGTCAGTTGTGGCGCAGTTGGTAACATTCTTAGCTCTGAGTCAATACTAAATAAACCAAACTTGACCACGGGATCAACTCTAAATAAGCCAAACTCTCCACATTATTAAATACTGTGGCTACAAGAACAGGCTGGGACATTATAGCTCATAACCCATATCCTGACTCCCCAAAGCCTGGCCACTGTCTACAAGGCACAAGTCAAGGTGAGTATGATGGAATATGCTCCACTTTTCTGGATGAGTACAGTTCCAACAATACTCAGGAAGGATGAATCATCTAGAACAAAACAGGCCACCTTCAGTGACACCCTAACCATCACTTCAATATTCACTTCCTTCACTACTGACAGAATATCCACCATTTAGAACATGCAATGCTTCTCCATCATCATCTTCCAAACTCAACATCACTACCACCTAGAAGGACAAAGGCAGAAGGCACATGGGAATGTGAATTCTCCTGTTCACACACAATCCCAATTCGGTGTGATATTACCATTCCCGCATTGTCATCAGCTCGAAACCTTAGAAGTCCCTTCCTAACAGCAGTGTGCACAGATCTACATCTCACAGACTGCAATGGTTCAAGAAGGTGATTCATCATCATTCTCAAGGACAATTAGTAATGGTCAATAAATCTTGCCTTGTCAGCTGCACTAACATTCCACAAAAGAATAAAAGAAAGCTCCAGGCATAGGTCAGTGATCTTTCCAAGTGGATAACATTATCTTAGTAAGACAAATTTGAAATATACTTCTTGTGGTTTGTTGTATGAGGGTTACTATGAGTTGGCCTCATTGTTACATTTTGCAGCAATCAATGGTTCCCTTTTAAAAACATAATTTGCAAGATTTGAACTACAATTACATTGAATGGTATGACAGGCTTCAGGTGCTGCATAATCCATATTTCCTGCAAGATGGAGTATGTGATGAATTGCATGGCATTTCAGTTAGAGCATCAAGCGATCTTCCTATAATGAGGCAAAGTGACAGTGACAGGGATGGCTGAGAATTCACTCAAATTGAATGCTCTGCTTCTAGCCATAATCATCTAGTGTTTTTGAAAACTCACTCATGTATCTCCAAACCTTGACAGCAATACATCTAAACCCAAAATAACCATTTAAACTTCAGCCATTACATCTGATCCTACATTCTTTGGATTCAAGACCCTTTGCCAAAACATTGATTCTAAACTGTGGGCAAACACAGAAATTAAGCAGATTACTGACACCATTTATGGTATTGGACCCTCATGTAGCTCCAGCACCAAGTTCAGCATTTTAGAATGGGTTTTCACAAACGTCTGTTGTGATTGTAATGAGGTCAGCCAGGTGAACCTCATAGAATATGAGTTCCCTGATTGGGGCTGTTAATCCAATCAGGGAGCCCCGGCTGACAGATATAAACAGGAGTGTCAGATTTCCTGTTCACTCTGAGACCTGGCTCTCAGGAACTAGATCAGTGTCAAAGACTCTCCATATGTAATTAAAGGCTGTCTTGGTGATGAGATACCAACCTCTGTGGAATTACTTCAGTGGTGACGAGAGAAAAGCACGCTCCTGAAGAAATTCATTTGCAACAATCGCGTTTGAGTTAGGGTAAACATTACTGGCTTCGTGCTGTTATTTGGGAAACTTGACTCGTTTGATCCTGCCACTGAAGACTGGGCCCAGTGCGTGGAAAGAA